CGTATGTAATGTATAGTGCCTATCCAGCGTTTGCTAATCAAGAACTAGGACTTTCCGGTTAGTGCGCCAGCCGCTTACTAAGTCCAATTTGGTCTGGGTCCGAGGTGGTCTTAATAACCGGCGACTACTGTATCTATAAGGAAGGCGATACTACCGACCCCATCTTCATGAAGCCGCCTCACTAAGGAGAGGGTTGGGGGCAGAGCTCCACACTGTCCACCGGCATATTTTGACCTTTAGTACTGGGTCAGTACGGCTAGAGAAGAGTGCATAAATCTGTCTGGATGCTGGTTTTTGCTGGTTGAGAGACCCTATTCACGACAGTAGGGAAGTCGATTAGATTAGAAATTCTCACAAGTCCAACAGGCACAAGTGTCTGCCCACTAAATGCATATTTTAGCAGATGACAAAATGAGTTTTATTGGGTAATTCTACTCCGCTCTGTTTCAGGATGTACCCACCCTGGATTATTGTCATGTTTGCGAGCTAATTGGAACCCCAATTGTGTATGCTACTCGCTAACTGTTAGTAACAATGGTATTTGACCGACAAAACGAGTTTTCCTCCGTAGCTCACTGGTAGAGCGTTGGCGGCGCAAAAGCCTTCCCTGCTGTGTGTGGGTTCGACTCCCACCGAGGCCGCGAGTTTTTCACACTTTGGTCAAATAGATTAAGCAAATCTGCCAAACCCCCCTACATGGTATCTTTATTTTCTGCATTTGTAGTTGGAATTCACTCTTCTGCCCTACCGCGAATCTGGCACTTACATTTTGTCCTCTGTGGACGACATCCAACTCCTCCTGGACGATCACATTGTCAAAACTCAGACCATGCGCGGTTCACCCTTCATCAAGCCATTTGAGAATGAAATTAGGTGAGTCATGTCTGCCTCCTATGTAACTGAATTAATACTTGTCATATTGGCCGTCACACAAAGTCGGCAAGGATGGAGGAGTAAGCTCGATTGAACAGTGAAATTGAGTTCACAATCGATTTGGCTATGGGAAATACACTAGATGGTTGCGTAACTCCTTTACTCTGTTTGTGAATTGGACCAAAAAGGAGACTAGTTGAATATATGGGCCTCGCCGACCTGGTAGTGGAACAATTAAGTTCCGTTTCGCCCTCGAGCTCACAATTAGAGTCCGCGCAGGTATTCAAATAGCGATTAGTAGGATAGGATGGAATGGGTCCGAAAAAGCAAAGGGAGATCGGAATGGCCATTTCTGACTTGTTAGCCATCATCAGCTCGTCATACCCAATCTCACTTATGTCCACAGTGTCCATAGGACTTTAGGATGAAACAAGGAATCGCCTATCAGAGAAGCTCGTGGCGTAATTACCTTGCTTTTCGAACCATTATTTGTTTCGGTCGCCTGAATTTTGAGTGAGTAACAGTAACTCTACTTGCTGGACGATTTCAAGGAACACGTCTGACATCAGTTAATAATACGAACAGATGCTGACGATATTTTACCCTCTAATAGCAAATTCATAACGAGATGACAGCAATAGGTATGTCCGATAAATAGCGGATTTTTTTCGCTTGAGCGCTATGGAAAAAAGTCTACGAAAATTCCCGATACTGCGCTGTTCAGCAGGAGTTGATTAGTAGTTTGTCCTCGTTGGTGCCTCCTTTTCGCCCCTTATCCTCTCGTGTTAAATTAGTATTATCCTGATGCTGTTTTGTAACCCTTCAACTCCTTTCGGTGGTAGACGGGATCGATATTTTTGCAAGGTCATCGTCCCAGTTGGTCTCTCTTCTTCATGTGTTTCGATGTTTTTACTTTCCACAAATTCGCTTAAAAAGTATATTTGCATGTAGATTCATATGCTCATCAAAATGCATTCCTAGATCCCTGCGAGAAGGGTAGTGGGCACCAGCTGTCCAGGCCTTCATTCCTATGCAAATTTTTGTACGTTTATGCAGCAAAGGTCAGTGCCAACTATTGGGGCAATCACCACCCTCACCGAACCTTGTGGACCTAGACTACGCGGCCCCGTAAAGTTCTT